ATAACTCGCGGCGGTGACTCTGACTTGGCTTAAGCTGCAGGAACTAACGAAGGAGACGCGGCGAAGACGGAATAATCGGCGTTTATTTTTATTCCTTTTTGCTGTTCTTCACAATGCTATTATTTTCTTTATTTATGATCTTGTTATCGAAACGGAGGAAGGGACTGTAATGGCCAAATGACACGAAAGGGAAGTAGCAATAAGTGCCAAAAGAGAGCAGAGTGAACAAGAGAAGAAAAAAAAATCAACGAAGTGTTTGAGAGAGAGAGAGAGAGAGAGAGAGAGAGAGAGAGAGAGAGAGATGAGAAGAGAAGAGAGAGAGAGAGAGAAGAGAGAGAGAGAGAGAGAGAGAGAAAAAAAGAGGAGAAGAGAGAGAGAGAGAGAGAGGGGGGGGGGGGAGGGAGAAGGAGAAAAGAAAGAAAGAGAGAGAGAGAGTAAGAGAAGTTTTGAGAATCTCATGAAATTCCTTGTGTGTCGGTTACATAAGGCATATCCAGCAGCGGTCCGTCGCGCGCAAGGCTCACGGTCCCGTCAGATTCCGAGGACGTTTCGCCCTTACGGACCCCCATATCGATGCGCTATTGATCGCTCTCTCGCTCGCTCGGCTACCTCGCCTTCCCAAAAGTCCCGCGCGGGGTTTCGCTGCGTTTCGTCTCGTTTCGCCGCGTTTCGTCTCGTTTGGTTGGCGGGCTGTTTGTGTTTCTCCGGGCTTCTTGCTCTTGTTTGTTTGTTTTGTTTGTTTTTAGTCTTCTTTTTATGAGTAGGTGCCGGCGTTTGTTTATTGTTTTTTTTTTTTTTTTCTAGGGTTTGGTTTTATCAATTCTTCTATTCCAGATCGGGATTCTGTTTTCTTAATGTTTCCCTTTGATTTGTTTTGATTTAGGTTTGGGTGGTGGATGGGGCGGGGGGGGGGGGGGTTATGAGAAGATGGGGGGGAAGGGGGGTGGGGGTATCCGCGAAGAAATGTGGCAGCGATAGGTAGCGATGACAGCGGGAAGCGGGGATTTGTGATCGCGTCTGCCGCTACGCCGAGACACCCGGCGGTTCTTGTTTCGTCCTCCTCCTCCTCCTGCCGCTGCTGCTCCTGCCGCCGTCGCCCCTGCCCCTCCCTCCTTCCTCCTCCTTCCTTCCTCTCTCCTCTCTCTCTCTCTCTCTCTCTCTCTCTCTCTCTCTCTCTCTCTCTCTCTCTCTCTCCTCTCTCTCTCTCTCTCTCTCTCTCTCTCTCTCTTCTCTGGTCCCCTCCCCTTCCTCTCAATACTCTCCCTCCCTCCCTCCCCGACGGCCCAAGGTTACGTGCCAGCCAGGATAAAAATATCTTGCTCGGCCCTCTACCACCCGCACTCCCTCCCTCCCTCCCTCCCCCCCCTCTCTCTCTCTCTTCTCTCCCTTCCCTCCTCCCTCCCTCCCGCTCTCCCTCCCTCCACCCCCCTCTCTCTCTCTCCTTCCCCTCCCTCCCTCTCTCCCTCCCGCTCTCCCTCCGCCCTCTCTTCCTCCATAGTTTCTATCACGCCACCCGCTCTCCTCCCTCCTTCCCTTCGCCTCCTTGTTATCGCTTTATTGCGTATCCCTTGTATCACGTGGGCTAATTTTATCCTTCCCTTTTGGCCCCTCTCTTTATTATTTTTTTATGGACCTGCATTTTCTGTTTCTATTTCTTCGTTTGTCTCGTTCTCTTCTCTTTGGTCTTTCGCTCTTTCTCTTCTCGCCTCCATCCCCTTTTTCTTTTCTTCCTTTCTCTCTATTTTCTCTTTGTCTTCCGGTTTTCCTTCCGCTGTCCTTTTTTTTTGGGGGGGGGGCTTCTGTTCCGTTTCTTTGTTCCACCTTTTTCTTCCTATTTTCTCTTCTTATTCATTCAGAGTGTATTCTGTCATTTGTATGAATTGATTTTAATAATTTTGCTAGAGGAAAGAGGGAGAGAAACAAGAAAGAGAAGATAAACGACAGAGGAAGAGAAGGAGACAAAGATTAAAAAGAGGAAGGAGAGAAGATAAAATTAGAATAAAAAGAATAATGCTTTTAGGGAAAGGCAACGAGACTTAGGAAAAAAATATAAAGATAAAGTGATAGAGAGAGAGAGAGCGCGAAAAAGAAAAAAGATATATATATATAAACAGATAAGAAAAAAGAGGGTAATCAGAAAAAAAGCCTTTGACGCAATCTAGACGATAGGATTCCAGCCTGAGCCGCCAGCTCGACGAAGCACCCCCTTCTGCACCAAGCATTCCCCAGGGGCGGCCGCGAGGGGAAGGGGAAGGGGAAGGAAGGAGGGAGGCGACGGGCGGAGGGGAGGGAAGACGGGGGGAAGGATGGAGGGGAGGGGAGAGAGAGAGAGAGGGGAAAGACGGGGGAGAAGGAGAGGGGAGGGAGGGCGAGGGGAGGGAAGACGGGGGGGAAGGATGGAGGGGAGGGAGATGGAGAGGGGAAGACGGGGGAGAAGGATGGAGGGAGGGAGAGGTAGAGAGGGGAAGACGAGGTAGAAGGATGGAGGGGAGGGAGGTAGAGAGGGGAAGACGGTGGGAGATGAGGGAGGGAGAGGGAGAGAGGGGAAGACGGTGGGTGAGGAGGAGGGGAGGGAGGGACGGAACGGACTAACGGGAGGGAAGACAAAGGGGAAAGAGGAAGGGTGGGAAGGGAAGAAGAAGGGAAATGATGGAGGGGAGGGAGGGAAGAGGAAGGAGAGTTTTAGAGAGAAAGGTGAAGAATGGAGGGGAGGGAGGGAAGAGGAAGGAGGGAATGATTTAGAGTGGAGAGAGGAAGGATAAAGGGAAAGGGAATGAAAGAAGGAGGGAAGGACGGGGACAGGACAGAGGGGAGGGAGAAAACAGGAAGGAGAAGAGGGAGGAGGCAGGATGAAAGGAAGGGAGGGAAAGGAAGGAGAAGAGGGAAGAGGCTGGATGAAAGGGAGGGAGGGAAACGGAAGGAGAGAAAGAGGGCAACAGAGGCGAAAGCGTAGGAGGGAAGAGGGAGAGGTAATGATGGCATCCTGAGGGAGAGATCAAGAGTTGGTCGCGTGTAGGCCTATTCCCTCACTCATGTTTAATCTTTCTGTTTCAGTTAAGAATTATTGAACCACTTTTGTTATTGATTGATGTCATTGTTACTACTGTTGGTGTTATATTTTTTTTTTATGATTGCGGATGCGTTTCTGTGTGTAATGATTTTAAAAAACTGTCAGTCTGTCTGTCTGTCTGCATTGGCTATATTTATATAAGGTTAAGTTTTGTAAAACCCAAATAAGAAATAATAATAATAATTAATAATGAATCTCTCTCTTCTTCTCTCTCTCTCTCTCTCTCTCTACTCTCTCTCTCTCTCTCTCTCTCTCTCTCTCTCTCTCTCTCTCTCTCTCCCTCTCCTCTCTCTCACTCTCTCTCTCTCTTCCTCCATGCTCCGTCCCTGCCTTCCCCCTTCTTCCCTATCCCTTCACTTCCCTG